TAGCCCAAAACTGTTCAGACAAAAAACCTGTATCAAGAGCAAGAGTCTGCCAGACATAACCATCTTTCCAGTTGATACTGTAGTTCAGTGAGCCTGAAACAGGAGACTGCCTCTTCTTATGAAGCAATGCAAAGAGTAGTCTAGGTGAAAACTAAAGTACCTGCTAAAGACATAGATTTTGAAAGAGGGCTCTAGAAACATTAAAGCCATACAGCATGGGTAGGCAAACTAAGGTCCGGTGGCCGGATCCAGCCCAATCGCCTTCTAAATCCGGCCTGCAGACGGTCCAGGAATCAGCGTGCTTTTACATGAGTAGAAGGTGTGTTTTTATTTAAAATGCATCTCTGGGTTATTTATGGGGCATAGGAATTTGTTCATATTCCCCCCCCCCAAAAAAAATAGTCCGGCCCCCCCACAAGGTCTGAGGGACAGTGGACCGGTCCCCTGCTGAAAACGTTTGCTGACTCCTGCCATACAGGATTTGCCAAGACGACACCTTTGAAAGGAATATAGAATAAATATATTTCAAATAAATATATTTGAAAATGGCAAAGTTTTGCAAGAGGCTAATGATTACTGTGAGCTACTTTGACAGCTGACCCAGAGGAAGCAGAGTGGGCCCAGTCAGAGAGTAATCAGCAGGCATTTGAGAAGATTAGGATATAAGATAAGATAAGGACACAACAGTCCAGAGCCTTCGACTGAAGCACTCAAGTACGAGGACCAGCTGGCATTGCAGGGTGACACATCAGAGACAAAGGTAGCAGCTGCCTGGTTAGAGGAGTCTCAGACAGCACCAACTGCATTTACCGACAGTCAGAAACAGAAAGGGAAGATGCACCAATTGAGGGTGAATCATTGGTCACCCTCTTTGGGATGGGACCATTCAGTCAATTCACATTTGCCCAGACTGAGCAACATGCCAAAGCCATTACTGTTGGCTGAAGTCAGCAACTTGTGATTGTTCCCTCCATCTGTGTCTTCGCCAGTATCATTGAGTTGTCTCCCATCTGCTTCCATAGTTCTCCCACTCAGTTCAATCTGCACTAATGGTGAAGCTTTACCTTGCGACACATTTACTTTCCTGGTAAAGGTCCTCTGGAAGCACATTTTGCCATCTGGGATTTTTGGAATATAAAGATGTGAGGTGTTTTCAAAATGAATCAAATAATTTTGCAGCACCAGTCCAAGACACTTTGTTGTCTGAGATGTAATAGGAAATGGTGTTCGTAGCACCCTAGGCCGGTCTAGTTAATTTTGCACCTGAGCCAGGAAATCCCACAAGACAAAAAGATACAATGTTAATAAAGAAATAAAATTATTTACAATTTGCTACCCTTGGATGCAAGAAGATCAAACCTATCCATTCTTAAGGAAATCAGCCCTGAGTGCTCACTGGAAGGACAGATTGTGAAGCTGAGGTTCCAATACTTTGGCCACCTCATGAGAAGAGAAGACTCCCTGGAAAAGACCCTGATGTTGGGAAAGATGGACTGCACAAGGAGAAGGGGACAACAGAGGACGAGATGGTTGGACAGTGTTCTCGAAGCTACGAACATGAGTTTGACCAAACTGCGGGAGGCAGTGGAAGACAGGAGTGCCTGGCGTGCTCTGGTCCATGGGGTCACGAAGAGTCGGAGATGACTAAACAACTAAACAACAACAACAACCCTTTCATGACACCCCAAAGCAGCTGCCCGAGGTGGCTGCCTCACTCTACCTAACGGTAGGTCTGGATATCTGGTGGTTTATAATCTTCCTTTTAACTAATTTTCTCAAAGAAGTTTATGGCGCCAGGGTCACCCTCTCCCAAGAAATGGGTGTTGCCAAGGTTCTTGAAGATTGAGACACAGTAAAGCAAGAAAACTGTAGCAAGCAGCTGACATCATTGGCAGTAATGTATTATTAAAATATCAGTAAATGCAAGAGCAGCAACAAATGTTCACTGGCTGATCTCACTCTGTTGGGCTGCTAGTCAAATGCAGGAAATTTTCAAAGCTTTCAGTTCCTAATGAGTCTCTAGGGTTTTCTATGAATGAGTTTTCAAAAGTATGTGCAGGAGGTGCAAAGAAGAGGGAATCAAGGGAGTTTTAAAGGACCGGTGGTGATATCAAGCAGTCTCGACCATCTAGGGAATACGGTAATGCCTTAATAATACACAACTCAGAAGTACTTTACTGGTAACAAAGAAGGTCTCACTTCTTGGCCTTTCCACTCTATGTTCACCCAGAACTGGACAATGGCTGCTATGGAGGAATGTGTTTGCATTTTGCATTTTCTGTTTTTTATATTGTGATTTTATGTTGGGAACTGCCCTGAGATCTATGGGTATAGGGTGGTACACAAATTTTAAAAATAAATAAATAAATAAATATGTTCACAAAGCAATTACATGAGGAAGAGTATCTTAATAGGTCAAGTTCTGGAATTGCTTCCAATACCTGTTTTGTTGTTTTGGAGTTGCTTCCGATACCTGTTTTGTTGTTTCTCTGGGAAAAAGCACTACAGATAAAAGCACTACAGCTTAATAACAGTAGTTTCATGTGTACAATTTAAGAGCAGAATTTCTACCCTTTTGTTTTCACGTCTCTGTGCTTGACAATCAGAATGTGGGAGGGAATCTATGGATTGTCAGTTTAGAAACAAGTTATTCTGGAACCTGATCTTAGAAACTAATGAGTTCTACTTAACCACTTCTTCCATTACATAAATAAAATGCTAGCATAGTATTAATTGAATGCTTTTCCAGGTGTCCAGTTGTTTTAAGGATGTGCTTTCATTTTACTGTGCAGCATTTTAAAACTCGATGCTGCCCAAAGCCTTAATAGTAGAATATGCTAGAAATCTAAATAAAAAAATACTCTTCCATTACTCATTATTTAAAAATAAAATCGTGTAAAATGAATATAAACCAGATTGTTCTAATAGACGTTCAAGTCGGATCAAATAGGATTTGGATGATTTTTCTAGCACCACCACATATAAGATTTCATTAAAAATGACACCGCATGAGACCAGCATAATGCAACTTGAATCTTTGCAATCATTTATAGGTTATTTGATGCCACTGGAAATTTCTCCTTCTTCCCAGGCAAGGGATTCTTAAAGCAGGTTGTGGAAACAAGTCATGCACACAAGTGGTTGACTCATCTCAAAATTTATATTCCCGACTGCCACTGCAAATCCTCCTTCCCCAAATCCAAGATTGGATTACTGTGCCTTCTCATCCCTCTGCATGCAATCAGCCCTCCAAGGAAATACCTCCATGATCTGCCCAGTTCACATGTTTGCACATTTCCCAGAGGATGGAGAACTTGTGGCTTTCCTGTTTAGGGAAGTTTTTAATGTTTGAAGTTTTATTCTGTTTTTAATGTTCTGTTGAATGCCGCCCAGAGTGGCCAGGGAAACCCAGCCAGATGGGCGGGGTGGAAATAATAAATTATTATATTATTATTATTCCAGATGTTGTGGACTACAAATCCCATCATCCCTGACCATGCTGGTCAGGATGGATGGGTACTGAAGTTCAACATCATCTTGGAGGGCCACAAGTTCTAGCAATAGAGGATCTACCACTGAAAGTCACAGGAAGATCACTCCTTCTTCAATGTTCAAATCACTCCAAGATCCCCACCTCAAAATAGAACAATTCTTTCCTTTTCTTTTTTTAAGCTTGCTGAAATGTGCAGTTATCCTTTTTCTAGGATGACTGATGAAAGGGGAGGAATATTCAGTACCCATATAAAATAAAGTCTACAGAATTATCCTCAAAGCCTGGGCAGCCAGTTTTGCTCCAAGAGAAAAGGGGAATAGTATTTTCCATTCTCAGCCTCCACCTCCTTCTCTACCATATTGCAAAGCAACAGACTTTGAGGGTCATACCATGTCCATCTACTGGAACAGACAAACCTCACTAACACCACTTAATCCCTCAAAGCTCGTTTCCCAAAATCTTTATTAAGGGATACACCAAGGCCATCTGAATGCATGTCACGATAAAATGCACTGTCTAACTTAATTCTTCTATCTTACGGGAAAAGCCAGATCATTGAATAATCAGATTTAGCTATCAGTACAGCAGAGGATCTAAGGTTTTAAACCAATTTAAAGCCTGCAAATACCATATGCCAGCTGACAAAATAAAGCAGTATAATTGATTCTAATACTCACCCGCTATAAACACCAGCATGACAAAGAGAAATGGTTGTATCAAGTCTTAACACAATGGCAACAGGTCGCCTGTGCTCCAGGCCCTATGCCTGGAATGACAAATAACAGTCAGCGCAGCCATCCTGCTATCAAATCCTTCCTAAAGGATTTTCACTCATTTAAGTCCCCCACACAGCCTTTTAAAAAATGACACAAAATGTTTTATTAATTCCACTTTCAACTACAGGGCAATATATTGCTCTTGAGAATGACTATGAGGCATACCTGTTGAATACTATGTAGTAGTCCCATCAGTTACAAATCTGCTGATGAGAGACTGGTACTATTTTACAAGGCCTGGCTCAAGTAAAATTGCCGCCACCTTCCTTCATTCTACTTGCACATGAGCAGGTTGTTGTGTTTAAAAAAGAACACCTATAAGCAACCTAAATACAAAGGCAACCTGAACGCCATACAGGTTTTGCATTGCTTGTTGATGATGCGTTTTTCTGTAGGCACTCCATTGCCATAATTTTCCATATATACAATGACTGTAGCTACCTTCTATTTACCTCTTCTCTTAGGGCAACCCCCTCAAAAAAAAGGCAGGTCCAGTTTGCACATAACGCTTGACATCAAAAAATCATTGTGCATACTCTGGAGAGAAGAGCACGGTCATTTTGCTTCTCCTCCAGTCCTGCTGTTACTGCTTTACTGTAGGTTAAGCTATGGTTTGGCTTACAATTAAACCGCAATCCCAGGTTCAGATACAGCTCCCCCAGACAAACCACAAGTGGTAAGCCACAAAACAAACCTTGACTACAGGGTCACAGCCAAGACTGGGTCATAGAGACATAGCTCAGTGGTAGAACATGTGCTTTGCATGCAAAAGGTTCTAAGTTCAATCCCTGGCATCTTCAAGTGGGGCTGGAAAATACCCATTGTCTGAAATCCTGGAGGGCCATTACCAGTCAATGCAAAGTACACTGAACTAGATGGATGAACTGTCTGACTTGGCACAAAGCAGCTTCCTATAATGATTATAATTCTGACCACATGCACATTAGCTAGCCTGACACTGAACTACAGTACACGTGGCTATTTTGTTAAGCTACTGGATGATAGCAATATATGTGTGTGTGTGTTTTGTTGAGAAGACCGCAGGACACAAAGATTTAGACCACACAGGAAACCTGGCATAGATTCAGCAGAGACTACTTAAAAAAACCCAAAAACCCATTGCTGGTTAATTACAGTGAAACCTGGAACCAGAAGGTGAAGAAAGAGCAAATGGTTACATTTTCAGTTCAATGAGCTTTACAGTTTGTTTCATTATACAGTCATACCTCAGGATAAATGTGCTTCAAGTTAAGTATTTTCGGGTTGCACTCCACGGCGACCCGGAAGTAAAGGAGTGCGTTACTTTCAGGTTTTGCCGTGTGCGCATGCGCAGACGGTCAAAATGACGTCATGCGCATGCGCGGAAGCAGCGAAATGCAATCCATGGATGCAGGTTGCATTCGCTTCAGGATGCGAACGGAGCTCCGGAATGGATCCTGTTCACATCCCAAGGTACCACTGTATTTGAGATGCTACCTCAAGGGATTCCTCCCATTTTTTGGCTGGCTGAAGGTGGGGGATTACAAAATGAATAGCAAAAAGTATATTGAGAATATGGCTTAGCACATGCATAAAACCATTTTCATGCCTACTACTCTATGAGTTAAGCAATACAGGACTCTTGATACAGTACTCTGCTTTATGCTGTCCATCTCCAAAACTACTGGATGCATGTATGTTCCCTAGATTTCATGCCAAATAGTTGGGAGAAGCTGTATAGCTCAATAGCAGCTTTCAGGTTTTGTAATGCACAGTAGATTTAATCCTAGGCCTTTCCAGATGTAAGAACTCAGGGAGCAAGGCTGGAAAGACCATGAGAAACCATCAGAGTCAGCCATCCAGGTCTAGATGGTTGGTTCAAAGTAGTACAATGCTGCTCCTTCTAAAACCTTGCTTTCCACAAGCAGCCTTGAACTCAGTGACTTAGTAAACCAATCAGATGATTACCAAATGCATCAACATGCAAAAGTATCCTGGGAGACACGACACAGGTACAAGCGTGTCAAGAACATTTTTGGAATTCATTTTAAAAAACCCAGCCATCCCCATCTTAATTCAAATCTCTCTGAATCTACACAATTAAAGCCTTTAATTAGGAGACAGTTTTCGCAGGAGAGAGAAGTAGCTTTTTATAGAACTAAATAACTTTACGATGAGCACATCTGCATTGGAAAGGTCAGCTATTAATTTTGTGGGAGCTGCTTGTCATTCTATCACCTGGAAGAATAGCTTTGAAGAATCCAAGACTTAATTATAGCAACAATTCAGTCTCCCTCCTTTTGTGGGCTCGTACATTTAGGCAAGTGCAACAGTCTACAGAGCATACTGTTTGAAGATGTCTATTGGCTAACTCAATGAAACACTCCATCAGTGCTTCCAATATGCTTTTTTGATGAACACGAAGCACTTCCAGTGTTTACAGATTAGACATCCTTAACAGGAATTTTGTTTGATTTAAATTGATTTCGCTGTGTCCATTCACAATGAGCACGGTCTGAAGTGAAGATAATGACATTAGCATGACTTGGGCATTGACAATTATATTAGTCACCGTGAACAGAAACTAAATATTCAGAGAACAGAAAAGGCTTCAAGGGAATTTATTCTCTCCTTATGAGTAAGCCTTCATAGACCATTTCCAGGAGAACACTTCATTTATTTAGGAGGCATAAGGTCACATTGGCACAAACAGCAAAAGAAGAAGAAGAAGAAGAAGAAGAAGAAGAAGAAGAAGAAGAAGAAGAAGAAGTGGAGGGGGAGAATTCTCTCTATGAAAGCCAGATATATAAAATGGAATGTTTACCCATTCACTACTAGGACAGATGAAGCTGCCTTATACCAGGCCACGCTACCTATCTAGCCAGTGTTTCTGTTTTGAATAACAGAAGTTCTCAAGGGTCTCAGGTAGAGGAAATAACAAATGGAGAGAGTGTTGTTGCATCTGAGTCCTACTTATGGGCTTCTGATAGACATCTGGCTAATCAGGATGTGGAAGAGGATGCGGATGGGGCTTCTGACCTGGTCCAGCAGGACTTTTTTTAGGTAACCTCATCATCAAGTAGTTTGTGAGTACCTGATGCTAAAGTGAAGCTAAGCAGGTGTGGATCTGGTCAATCCCTTGGATGGAAAATAATTGCAATCCTCATATAAAGAGTAGAACAGACATAAAATAAAACCATTTTAAAGGCATGCAGATCAGCAGCAGTCACACAAGAATTGTGATGCAGTCAAATGGTGGCTGGTAATTCAGAAGTAGAAACCTCATTTTCAAACTGACTGTACATTACTGATCTTTTATGGCACTCTTCAGAGTATTTTCTTTTCAAAGTGGGAATACACACTTGTAGCAATCAAAAATACATCTAAGAATTTCCTTGATTCTATTTATGTGCTGGCAGATTTACAAATGCATATTTAACAGAATCACGTTAAATTGCTCTAAATAATGCATACTGAGTCAGTGATCAAAGTCTTTTTATTATAAAAGTTGGAGAAATATATGTAATTTTATTATTACACTGAATTCGATTTTACGCTAATAGATTCTGCCTTATTTTTATTTATTTAGCTCATTTATATACCACTCCATGTATCAAAGAAATCTCTGAGAATCCACATTTTAAAACAGCACCAACCAATTAGATATGAATTCACTAACAGTAAGCAGCATATACAAATACCAGCACTATATATTCACATTGTTGCAGGAGTTAGAAAAGCACAGAGTCTATGTCTTTAACGCAGTAAGTCAAATAAGATGAGCAAATGAATTGGCCTTCTACCAGATGGTACTCAGTTTTAGAGAAAACCCTTTCTTGAATGCATTGCTCTTGAATAAATGAAAATAATTGTTCTAATGTGCTGCCTACTTCCACAGCTTTAACCACCATTAGGCACATTTCAGTGGAAGAATTTCCCACAAGGGAGTTCTGAAAAGATCATAACACACACACATTTTGCCCTTGCTCATCACAACTGCACCATTCAGAGCTTAGCATTTGAGATAGTTTTGCTATTCCCTTATTCCAACCTCTCCTCTCTACCCACTTAAAAAGCAACAACTTGAATTCTGTTCATCGACTTCTTAAGTGAAAAGTTTTCAGCCATAGGTTCTTCCAGGTGGGTCTTTATCAGTGGGATTGCTGTTGTTCATGCATGTATGCTTCTTTTTTTGGCAGTATCCAATATCATTGGCATCAAAATGACATTTCACATTTTTTCACCATTTAATATGGATTTTCCCTATTCCCACTCACGGAGCTACAGTTCCCACAGTTCCCTTTGAAGAGGGACTGAGTGTTAACTCATTCTGAGAAATGGGGCTCTGTGAGGGGAATGGGGGGGAGGTCCTCCAAACAACTTTCAGCACCATTAAATGGCAGTTCCTGAGATTCTTTGTGGGGAACCCATGACTGTTTAAAGTGCTATGGCACTGCTTTAAAAGTATAGTGCAGGTGAAGACTATGAAGACTTCTCCCCTTGTCCCCTGCTTATGAGTAGGGCTGCTCCAAGGTCTCCTAGTTAGTCTCAGCAATATGAAAATACAGACACCCATCCAACATGGCCGTGATACTAAAAAAAAAAAATCAAATTCTTTTGAGAGTTATAATAGCATCACTAGGGTATGATCCCTTTTATCAACCTACAGAGAAACCAGGGCTTCAAGTAAAGTCTCCATGCCAAACCTAGATCCAATACCAGACTAAAATACACCTGAATCATACTGCTGGCAAACTCATTCCCTTGGGTGCCAAATCTGTTTCTGAAATTGCTTAACACCATTTAATCTACAACTTCGACAGTGCTTTTCCTCAAGATGCCATGCCTAAAAAGAAAGAAGCTATTCAATAGGGATGGGAGAGGAAAAATAAGTCTAGGATGGGACTCTGTGCACAATAAACATTTTGTTAAGGCAGCCTGGCTCTTTCCCACTCACTAATCTTGAATATAAATGTGCACAATAAAACATAGCTGCTGTCTTAGCCAATTACTTTGAAAATCTGAGCGCCGCTTAAGCATATGATGCTTAAGTGTATACATTAGCATTTCCTCTTCAAAGGACTCCAATTATGCTCTCCACAGAGAATTTGCCCCTTTTACTGTAGTTAACAGGGGCAAGTCAGTGCTAAGTCAGCTTCCAGGAAAGATACAGGTTCACAGATATGGTAGATTAAAAGTGTTTCTTAATCAAGGGAAAGGCTGCCAGGGCCGGCCCAGCAACAAGTCACAGTGAAATACCGGTATGTGCTTCTGGTGGCAGACCAGGAGGGGTGGCAAATTGCACCCCATCAGCCACACATAGTGGGGCCCACTGAGGTCACAACTATTGGGCCTGCTCATCTATTGGTCAACTCTCAGCTGCAGCTGCAACTGCTACTGGTGTGCCAGTGTGGCATAGCAGTTAGAGTGTTGGACTTTGAGAACAGGGTTCAAATCCCTGCTCAGCCATGAAACTGACTAGGTGACGTTGGGCCAGTCACAATCTCTCAGCCTAATCTACCTCACTGGGCTGTTGTGAGTATAAAAAGGGAAAGAAGAGAGCGACGTGTGCCACCTTGAGCTTCTTAGAGGAAATGTGGGATACAGAGGGAATAAATATATAAATCCCACTAGTGCAGCCAGGCCACCCACCTCAAAGTACAACACTGCAGGGTGAGAATGGCCCCCCAAATCCTGTGGTGGAAGGAAAGGAGGGAGGGGGCTGCCGAGGAGATAGCAAGGGAGCTGCAACAGAAGGTGGCAGCACAATGTATAATCATAGAATTATATAGTTGGAAGGGACCAAGGGGGTTGTCTAGTCCAACCCCCTGCAATGCAGAAATCTTCTGCCCAACATGGGGTTCAAACCCATAAGCCTGAGATTAAGAGACTTATGCTTTACCAACTGACCTATCCCAGCTGTAGTGTTGCACTAGGACAAGGACAGGCTTTTTTACCAGTGCATCACTTTTCATTTTACGTTAGTTTAAAATCATTTATAAAATTCTTAATATTTTTTTTAAATATCACTTAAGCTGTGTGCATTACAAAACAAACAAAATCATTAAAATGAAACAGCGGTGTCAAAACAGGTAAACACGCATAAAAAAATAATGAAACAAAAATGCAAGGGAGCCAAACATATAACAGGAACCAGGTTTATAGGTCAGTGGAAGCATGGGCAAAAAGATAAGTCTTAACAGAACATCTGAGGCAATTGGTGGCAGTCGCATGAGGCAGATTGAAGGAGTGGCAACAGTATTATGGGAAACAAAAGCGGGGACACACAAAAAGAGGTGGGGTGGCAACACATGCCACGCCCACAAATGCCAATGAAATTCAGAGCAACATGGCAATATACCCATCAAGAAGCCACAGTTCCGTAATGCACTATAAAAGGAACATTAGAAACCAGGACAGAAGTGCTAGCATCTGGGAGTCAGGAGAGGGGGGATATTGGTTTGTTCTTGTTCTTTTTTATTATGTATTTTGTGGTTTTTTATGTTGTGAACTGCTCTGAGATCTACAGATGAAGGGCAGTATATAAATATAAAAAATAATAATTATGAATAATAATTATAACCAGGTGAACTAACACAATAATTCCCACATCTAAATATGCCCTAAGTATTTACATAATGCAGTTTTTGACTAAATGTCGTCTTCTTTTAAGTTAGCACAAGTAACAAGTTTTCTGCACGAACTCTAGAACCTCAGGCATGAGCATTCTTGACCTCCTCTGTTGCTTTTCCAGGAGATTTTCCCACAACTGTTGCAGTGTACATTTCCTTATAAAGAAATGATGACTAAGCAAGTGCTGGATTACTTGACTGGCATAGTACAATGGACCCTTGTATGCTTCTTTCTTGGATGTGAAAGGGAAAAACCAATGCCACCACAGTCCAGTAACTCACTTAACATCTCTTAAACTACATTCTATAATGTTTCACAGTGATTACCCTGCCCTTCTCTCAGCAGTCCATTGAGGCACAAACCAGCATTGCCTAATTCATAAAGGCCAAATTAAAAGAACTAAGATAGAAGTTATGAGAAGATACAGTCAAGATCACATAGAGTTGTGTTTTTTCATGTTAGTAAATGGCGACAGAGAGGGGGATGAGTCTATTTTGAAATGTTTAATTCTTACCCGTTGCCCCATTTTTTCAGATTAAAATCTCCCTGTGAAGTTGGCAATCTCTGGAAGCTAGCTTTCTACAAAAGCTGTAAGTGCTCTGGATGCAGACAGGGATATGATACCCATCTAGGGATTCAAGGAAGCACATCACAGGATGCAGGAGACAAGAAAAGTAAATGATTTTTGTGAGAAGTCTCACAAACTGTACGAGAAAGGTTGGAAGGAACAATCAGAAATACAGTGGTACCTCAGGTTACAGATGCTTCAGGTTACAGACTCCACTAACCCAGAAATAGTACCTTGGGTTAAGAACTTTGGTTCAGGATGAGAACAGAAATTGTGCGGCGGCAGAGGGAGGCCCCATTAGGTAAAGTGGTACCTCAGGTTAAGAACAGTTTCAGGTTAAGAACGGACCTCTGGAACGAATTAAGTTCTTAACCCGAGGTACCACTGTATATTAGAAGAGAAGAGATATTGGTATACGTATAGAGGGGGAATAAACCAACCTTGAATTAACAATAGAAGGACAACAGTACAAATGACATCAAAATTCAGGCAGTTAAACTGTTGGGACAGAGGTGAGAGGAAATTACCAAAAAGGAGAGAGGGGGCAACACAGAAATTTGCAGTAACCAAGGCATGATCTGGCTATAGCAGAGAGGATGAAAACTGAATGTATCTATATATTCTTCTCTATATAATAAAAATCTAAGGCTGTCATCATTTCCACTCTTCTCAAAGTTACATATTGTCACAGGTATCTGTTCAAAAAAAGGCTGCTGAATAGGAGGCAGGAGGAGACACAGAATGGGGGGGGGGGGAGTCCATGTGCAAGGGGGAGGTGAAAAAGGGAGGAGGAGGAGGGTGGAGAAAAGGGTTGAAGATAAGAATTGGTGGTGGCTACCAAAAAAGAGAGGAAGGAATAGGAGGCCTGAGAATGGGGGGTAAAGATGAGAGTGGAGATACAAAAGGGGTTACGCAACAGGAGGAGATGATGGCGTAATACAGGGCTGCAGACCAGAAGACAGAAGTAGCTCCAGAAATGGGGTTAGGAAGGAGAAAGGGGAGCTTAGTAATTGCATGGGGTAGGAAGGGGAGCCTCTAGGGCAGCCTTTCTCAACTGGGTTGTCAGATGTTGTTGGACCACAGCTCCCATCATCTCTGACCACTGATTAGGAATGAAGGAGGTTGCAGTCCAACAGCGTCTGATGCCCCAGGGTTGAGAAAGGCTGCTCTAGGGTGTTGATGCGGAGTGATGGGGGTGAGCAGATCAAGTGCAGCCCCTAGGTCTAACAAAGTCCTCAGGACATGACTGCATGACATCAGTACAGATGGTGGGAAACCAAGGCAGATATGTACACATACCAAAAGATTTATTCTTCTCCAAAGAAAGACAGCTTCATCCTCATTGTTTCACATAGATGGACACCCATTCAAAATGGCTTCTTCAGCTAAACTGCTTCAGTAGCAATAAAATACTGACATTTTATTTCAGCCAGTCAATTAAAAACACACACAAACCTCATAACAGTATATATTGGCTGTTCTTCATGAGATGTGCTCTCATATAGGTTCATTTTTATTATTCCAATACAAAATGGCAGAAATTGATTTTAAATTTTGACTTCCTTTGCCAGATGTACACTAGAATTAAGTTAAATCACTGAAGATACATAGTGACATGCATGGCCCACAGCTGCTAATTTTACATTTCTGTTTACTAAGATGACCCGGATTATAGCTTCTCCTTCCAACCCCCTGCAAGTTTATTATAAGGAATACGTCAGTGAGCAAGAGGTAAATTTCATGGTAATCCCAAATGATGTAAGCAAGCCAACATTTTATTCCAAGATAGCCCATTATACTTGATACATGCTACTTATTTATTTTAAATATCGCATTTTGTTTATTTTCAGGCTGCCAAATACAGGAATCTCATCTGAAAGGAATGTGGAAAAACCTTCTGCTGCTATTTTTGTAAAGTGTCAACTGGCAATGCTTAATCAGCCCCAAGTAATTTTGCCTCGTTTAGAGCAACAATGCTTTCCTCTGCTTACTTCCAAAATAAAACAAGCCAATTAATTCAATGGCTAGGAAGCATGCTAGCTTTGACACCAGCTCACAGTAAAATCTGAGCTATGCTTGTTATAAGCTCTGTATTAACACCGAAAAATAAAAATAAAAATGCTATACCACTTCAGCATTCTCTCAGAAATGAGATTCTCTCAAGCACCACCAACCTCCTCTTCTGCATACACACAGCCATTTTTGGCCACAGAATTTATTTCTATTGTATAACTACTGCTTATTATGCAAGTTATATAGATTTGCAGGATGATTAATTTGCGACATTTTTTAAGGAAGGGTGGTGATTTGGAAGCAGTTTTTTTTTAAAAAAAAAAATAAGGTTTGTTAATATGAGGACCTCATCTGAAGCAACATTAAAATCTTCCACTGTCTACCAGTGCCAGGAATCAAATCCTTGGGCAGCAGCAGCAACCTTGCAGTTCTTTGTGCTAAAGAAGCTAGTTCCTTAGCAACCAATGAAGACAACTGTGTTGCCAAGGAAATGTGAAAGACATTTATAAAAAAGTATGAAAGAAAGCAACAGCAGAAGCCACACACACACACACACACACACACACACACACCCTTCTAGTAATTTTTGTACCACGTACAATAAAATATTTCCCTTCTTAAATGGGGCTAATGCTGGGTCTATTGAAAGTTGCTTTACCCTACTGAGGGTTTCTTTGTTTTGAAAAATGTCTATATGAATACAGAACTTTCGGCCTATGCCACCATCTCTCAAGTAGTAGTGGAATTCCAAAAAGTACTTTAGGCAAACGGTTATGTCTCAATACTAAATCACATGCTTTGTGTACAAGAGGTACAAGATTTCCTTTCTGGGCAGCCAATAATGAGTAAAGTGGTACCTTGGTTCTTGAACTTGATGCATTCCGGAAGTCTATTCGACTCCCAAAACCGTTCGAAAACCAAGGCACGGCTTCCAATTGGCTGCTGGAGCTTCCTGCACTCAATCAGAAGCCACAGAAGCCACATCAGACATTCAGCTTCCAAAAAACGTTTGCAAACCGGAACACTCACATCCGGGTATGCAGTGATTGGGAGCCAATTTTTCGGGAGCCAAGCCGTTCAACTACCAAGGTACCACTGTATTGGCCCTCTTCTGAGTGATAGCCCCTCTGATGTTTGAAGAAAGCAAATGCTCTCTAGTCTTCTATTCTCCAGACTAGAAATACCAGTTCCTCCAATCTTTCATCACTGGAATTGTTTTCAATATCCCTGGTAATTTCTCCAGTCCTCCTAAACCTGTTCTAATTTATCAACATCCACCGTGCAGTACCCAGAACAGGACACAATACACCCGATTAGATCTGGCTACTTGGAAACTACTATTATTTTATTGCAGCCTATATCATGCTAGCCATGTCTGCGAGCTGGCCACAACTCCCTCCCCCCAACTGGCTGTAGCCATTTACTATACAATCATCACAATAACTGGTATGGCAAAAGAAACAGTTGATATAATTGTGCTGTTCCTTCCTGGAGATGTCCAAGATGAAACGAAACAGCCACAATGGTAAGGGATTCCCGAAGCACTCTAAAGTTCAGACTTCAGGCAAGTTGGTAAAAGCAGCAATATCAAGCTGACAAAGTAAAATTGTCTTTTAATTGACCTCCATCTCTTAGCAATTACCATGTCAGATTGCTTTCAACAAGCATGTCCAAGCCATAAACTCCTGCTGACGCTGGGAATATAA